GCCTCCCCCTGTAGTGAGGAATCGGCCCGTGGTGACCTAAATCGCCAGTGCCCCTTCCGTCTTCCTCGCCTCCGGCACGGCTCCGCCGCCACGCGATCTATCGCTCCGGCGAGACCGGCCTTTTTCATCTGCTTCCTTAGCTCCCTGTGGTGATTCTGAAGCTTCTGCCGCTGCCCCCCGTCGAACCGCTTTTGCTGTTAGTTGTTATTGACGAAATTTTTATCCAGATAGTAAAAATAGATATTACATTGCTGTTTCGGGTTATTATGGCCTTATGGATGCTATGCACAAACAAAATAGTCACCGCTGCAATTGTGCAACAATATCCAAATACGTAGTACACATGGAACTGGAATTCTGTCAACCACTGTTTTCATTCTCTCCAATCTAGATAAGCGTAGCTGAGGATTGGCTTAGGCACCATTCATCTGTTTCTGATATGATCTGTACCCTACCTCAAACAGGATTAGAAGATATAAAAAAATGGCTGCACAAGACACTCCTATGATCACCGAGGATGACTATGAGGTACCCATCTTTTAGTTCTTTTTTATTATAGGGCGCTGTTACTATTGAACTACCACAAGATATCTCTTGTACAATATTTTTCTCATGGCTACAGTATCACAATCGCATGAAATGTTTTTCATGCCCATCTGATATTACCAATTTTGTGTAACATTACTCACATATTATCAGTTAAATAGTGCTCAAAGTTCAACTTAAGCTGGCCAGCCATGGCCTATAAATATCAGCAGAGTAAGAAAGAGAAGAGCCTGGGTTCTTGTTTTACATGTTTGCTATATGTCCGAAATTCTCTTATTTGCACCGGTTTGGACACATGGGAGAGTTGCTATGTTGTTTACCAATGCTAGATGCACATAAGATATCTTCAAGTATATAGTCTTCAATTGTTAGATTATACTTGAAAAGAATTTGAGTACTCCCTCCGTCCCAAAATAATTGTCGCTGATCTAGTACAACTTTCTACTAACGTTGTACTAAATCGGCGACACTTATTTTGGGACTGAGGGAGCATGATATAACTGTTGGAACAGTTCATCTTATTTTATGCTGTTACTTGAAACAAGATTTTGGTGGGAATTGTATTTCTAAATCAATTGTTTGTAAGGATCAAAATGTTCAACTCTTCTTGAGTTTTTACTGTTGTTGTGAACTATGTGCCTACATTTTTCAGACTCAGCAGAAGAAGCAAGCTGCTGCAGATGTTCTTTTCAACTATTCACAGTTTGTTATGGTGTGCATTGGTGAGGGAGTTCGCCCGACTGATCTCCGGTTGCACCTTATGAAGGTAGATTTGCTATCCTGTAACTTGTTGTGTTTTTTTAATGTTGCACATTTATTACCATCATTTTTAATGCTGGCCCTAAGCATGTGAGTTCCTGCCAGAATTTCTTCTTTGTGTACCCACAACAGTTTTTTAGGTGCTCATGATTAATTTCCCCAAGCATAGAGAGGCCCAGGCCTTTACATACTCAAGAGTAGATATATTATATTTTATTAGTGACATGTCTATTCTTAAGCGAAAGGAAGGAATTATTAGAGCAACAAATCTGACCTTGAACCAGATGTGCCAATTCGGTATCTTTCACTGATTCTTATTCCTGGAGGGCACTTTTATCTTTAGGATTTCTGGACCTCTGAGATCATATGTTTTATGCACCATTCGCCTACAGTGGTTTACATGAGATATTATTTCTGTCTCGCGATTCAGACACACATATTTGCTACAGTATTGTCGTGCATGGGAACCAAACATGGAACTGTTTTTAACAATTTCTGAACTTTATGCATTTCATCTTTTGCTACGATTTCCTATGTAGTTCAAATTGACCTGTTTCTTTACACCCTATAATGTAAATTAATGCCCTTTAGTTAAATATCAACAAATGGATATTCGCCTTTATCATGTGATCACTCCATGGATGCTTTTCTTCTTTTTATTTGATCATTTATTCTAACTTGTATAATTATTACCCTTTATCTTTGTCACTCTTGTGTTTTGAACCCTTCGGCTTTTTCTTGAAGGGTGTGCAACTGTTTTTTTTTCCGAGCAACCGCCAGGAGCTTTGCCTTTTCAGTAAGAGTAAGAGCTGGCCAGTTAATAGGGAAAATTGGCCGGAAACCGATACATCAGTTACACACACACCAGCACTGAGATCGCGCACCAGGCGAGCCGCTGGTTTCGCCACACGAGCAACTAGAGCCGACACCCTACAACCAGATTGGAAGCCGCCGCGCTGAATCTGGCATCCACGCCGGTCCCAAGGCCACAACCAGACGAGTCAATGACTCAGTCGCCCAAGCAACCAGAGACGGCACCCCACAACAGCACAACAGTTTTTGGAGCTACTGCTCTGACTTACTAACCTAAAACACACACTGACCCCGAGGCAGAGCACTAGGCAAGCCGCCGGCTCCGTCACTCAAGCAACTGGGGCCGACACCCCACAACCAGACCCAAAGCCGCCGCTCCAGCATCCATGCTGGCCCCGAGCCGACACCCTAAGAAGACATCGAGATCCGGAGCCACCGCTCTGTCCTCCACATCGGGTGAGGTCGTGCACCGCCCGATTCGATGGCTCGACCACGTCGTCCGCCACGGACGCTGACATGGCAACTCCACATGATAGTCTTCTCTGGCTAGGCCATGGCCTCCTAAGGTGACGCCTCCAAGGAGGAAGTGACGAGGATGCCGCCGTCCCCTCCTCCGGCAGAAACAGGGAACTTGAACGTTCACCTGGAGGGTTCAATACCAGAGACTTCGAGAGGTGAAATAGAGCACCCACGATGCCCCCTCCAAGGAGGGGAACGATGCCAGCAGGTGTCGCCATGTTCGGCGCCAACTAACTGTTCTATTCACCTTGTGTTTTATGTCTTGGGATATTCACTCGAACAAGATAACATGTTTCTGGTGCAATTAAGATGTTAGTTAGCTGCATTCTTGCATTTGAAACTAAATTAGCAAGGGGTCAAATGAAAGCCTAACTATTCTGGCTTTGGCATATGGCTATGGGCCTGTTAGGGCTAGCGTTCCAAAAGTGCACTTTCTGATTACCCATCTCACCCAAAATAAGGAATAAGTAGTGTTCTATCTTCAAGTTGCACGTTCTACCCCTTGAACTCCAAGCGTGTCAAAACTAAGCATCTCTACTCATTAAGTTTAAGTCTGCAGCCTAACTATTTTATGCTTGAATGCAATTTGACTAGCAAAACACATGTCTCAGTGAGGATAGTGGCTATATAAGCACAATTGACACCAGGCAATTCATGCTTCTGTTCGCCAACAAACTCCGGGGTTATTTCTTCTGGCCTGAGTCCATCAGGCTGATATGATGCTAACCCAGATCTTCTGTCTCCTATTTCCCCAGGAAATTTCAGGGATGCCCACCTCTTTGAAGGAAGAGCCACGGCAGGCAGCTGCCTCCCCAGATTCTAGCGGTGAACCATCATCCTCTGGGACGATGAAAGAAGACAGGAGCGAAATCCCATAAGCTTCATCTGCATCTTGCAAGGAGATGGTATCTCAGGATGATAGGCGATGATTTGTGATCATAGAGATGTAAATAAGTTAGCATGCTTGAGGCAAGGCCTGATTTGGTTTACAGCGCTGAAGAGCACATTTTCCTGGCGGATGGTAACATTTGTGATCATTTTTCAAGCCACTTGCATTGCATCTACTCCCTCCGTTCCGAATTACTTGTCGCAGGTATGAATGTATCTAGATGTATTTTAGTTCTAGATACATCCATTTCTACGACGAGTAATTTGGAACGGAGTATTAGTTGGGGTCCATATCTTAGCCTATAATCGCCGAACAATACTGTTCTGTTGTCCATGTCTTATGTTTAATCAGGTTGACTGGAGGTTCTGTTTTGCATTCCGGGGTTGGCAGGCACATTGCGGCTTACATCCCTAGGGCTTAGTTTCAAAACAGTTCATGGGTGTTGTGGAATGCATCAGGATTTCTTGCAGCTAAGTTTTATAATGGGCACGAAATCTGATTGTGAAGACCCTTTTTTACCTCTCCTTTTTTTTGAGATATAAGCACCTTCCATTGGATAGGGTTATTACATACATAGGACACAATTGATGGAATTTATGCAAGCGCAAGATCATATCGGTAGGCACAAAATCTTAGCAGCAGCATCAGCACCGGGGGTTGGGAGAGTGACTCCAAGATCACCCGCTCCACCTCTGTTAGAGACGTCGTAGATGGAACGAGGATCTTTGACCCACTGACTGAAGCTTATGAAATTCTGGAAGTTCCTCTTCGAAAGTCGTTAAGATGGCCATATCGGTTGCTGCCTGATGAGAAAGCGCAGTTGGAGGATACTAGGAGGGACACTGCAGCAAAGTCAATCTATGCCATTGTGGTCCATGAGACATTTGCAAAAACACTTTCTGCAAGGGTGAAGGGGAGACATCCCGTCCTGGTTTTATCAAGGTTAATGTTGATGCGGCCTACTAGTCAACAGGTGGGGAGTTCTTTCTTGCAGCTGCTCAGAGATATGAAGATGTGCTGATTGCCTTGACAGCTGAAACACTTCCTCCGTGATGGTGTGTGCATTTGGCATAACCTGGTGGTTTTGGTGGATATGTGGACCAATAGGCCGCAATGCAGGTTTGAGATTATGGAGCTTCGAGTTTAGACATGGTTTTAACTCCTTTAAGTCATCTTTTTATTTGTAAAGAAGCTAATTCCGTATGCCCACTTGTGTGCAAAATTGACTGAAGATTGATGTGTTACATGTATGAGCTATAAAATGAGCTCTACTGATTGCCAAAAGAAAAGGAAAGAGTAAAGCTTCTTATACTGCCCCGCAAAAAAAAAGCTTCTTATACTGACTCACCACATTACAACAATCCATCAAACCTTCAGCATGAAAACAACATGTCCTTTCCTTTTGCTCGAAAAAGAAACACGACTTTCATGCATCATTAGCTTAACTAGGTAGATGGAAAAAGAAAAAGAAAACTTAGCTAATAGGTGGATTCTGCAAGGCATCCAAGCTTCTGCCTATCCGCTCGTCTATCCAGGCAAGTCTCCTCTCAAGTTTTAGCACACTGGTATGCAGAACCCTAACATCAACTTCTGCAAGCTTTGCAAATGAGCGTATCAGCACGTAATAATCAGCATGTCCGATGCAAACAAGACTACCGGTTATTGTCTTCCTTCTATAGTGAAGGTAGCCATTTGATCTAAGCAACTTCCTTGGCGGCAGATAACAAAACCCATGATCTTCCATTTCCGACTTGATCCTTTGGATCCCTGATGATGATGCAGAAATGCTCCTTGCACCAACAGAAGTTCCATCCCGACATCGTTTATTCATCACTCCATTCGTGGTTTGCGTTTCCTCCATGCGAGCTTTTGGATTCCCATCCTACAATGCAATAGGTTTAGCCATCAAATCAACAGCGATCACCCGCAAAAGACGCGTGCATAATCCTCAAGGTGCTACATCCATATTAATTTTAGGTTCAAAACCAGCATGTGTGGCAAATGAAATAGGGGCTTTTTTTATGAATAGCAACTTTCTTGTTCTTCATCTTTTAATATAATATATTTTGGGAGTTCCCAAAAAATCTTTCAGACTATTTGTGTTCGATTTCTAAAATCATTTATTCTCTCCGATCCAAATTAATTGCCGCAGCTTTAGTACAACTTCGTACTAAAGTTATACTAAAGCTGTAACAATTAATATGGATCGGAGGGAGTAAGATATTTTTCCATGCTGATTTTGTTTCTGAAATAACATCCATAGATACAACCTTGCTGTTAATGGTTTGCACTCAAGAGGAAAGCTGCATCCGTATAAATTTGAAGTTGAAAATCAATATGTGGTGAGAAAAATAGAGAACATTTTATAAATAGCAATTTTCTTGCAAGTAACAGCAGCTCCCTCCCTGGTATGTCCCTTCCCCGCCAGAAAAAGTCGATTCCTGGCTAGCCGTCTACACCACCAACCACTGCCAAGGCTACTCGTTTGACCGTCGCCTATTGCTTATGCACATCTAGGCAAGCGCCTAGGGACACCATTCTTTAACCTTGTTTACACTAGATGCTGATAACAGCTAAGCAAAATAATCCAGCCCACAAAAGGGAAACCATTAAAGTAGAGCCAAGACAAAATAAGATTACAGTGAGGATTTGAGGAGTCAGATAAGATGAGAAGTACTCCATGATGGAGACAATCATAGAGAGACGCACTACAGCTTTACTGCTTGATGCAAAAACCGAACAAGAGTTGACAACAATATCAAACTGGGTGCATTACCTCTCGTCCTTTGTACATATCCTGAAAGATCTCTATTAAGTGATCCTCTTCAATTGAACATGCAATCCCAGGGAAAACAATATCTTTGCAGTACTTGAGATAAGAGTGAAGGTCCTTTGAATAGTCTGTAGAATCAGAAAAGTTAGTCAATTTTGTACAACTAGTAAATATTTGGTCCAGTCACAACTAGTGCCAGACAAGAATGCATTCAGTAAACCATTATAACTTTGAACAAACATATCATCGTGATTTGTGAACTTATGAGAACAACATGCACATTTTTTATCCATGATACTTTGAAGTTATTGTACTTCTATACTTTCCTTATAAGATAACAAAATATATTGGTCTAAATACATATCTAGTTACAATGCTAAAGGGAAGTTACCAATCACCATCTGTACGAAAGAAAGATGGAAGTGCAGTTTTGTCTAAGTTGAAAATTTGACACGTAATGAGTTGTTCTACAGCCGTTTGTATCAGAACTCTCTGTTTGTGTAAGGAATCATGAGAGTAGCTTACTAGACAATCCAGCGGTAATGCAGAAAATCAGTATTTCTCACTGGAAGATACTCGTGTATTGTCTGTTAATTTTTGTAATGCTGCCTGGTGCAGATGCCCCACAAATGTTCAAGCCTAGTGTTATTAGACACTAACAAGCATTAAGGAGCTCTCTATTTAAGTGTGGAAGTACAGATCCAAGAAATGTAAAAAATTATTTATTGTGAAGAACAAAGCCACAAACTCCATGCATACATCAACGTATTGTTTTTCTCCCATACAAAATATACATGTTACTCTAGCCTTGCCAAATTTTAATACAAAGTGAATGTCCTAAAAGGTTGAAATACAGCTATAGCGATGATCCATACATATTCTACCTCAGTAACTGAAAATTACCATGGAGATAGACTAGCGGCTCTACACATATGAGGGTATAACCTGTTAACACAAAATATGACAAGGCTACCATAATACTCCCTCAGTAACTAAAACCACGACACTTATTTTAACAGAGGGAGTAAATAGTACCATATTAGTCTCTCTTATGACATAGCTACCGCACTAGAAGCTAGAATAACATGTATTTAGTAACATAGGAGGTAAGTATTTAATAAACCACTAATGGGCAATATAAGGATTAGACTTGACATGCGTGCATTGCTAGAAAAAAAATATGTGGATTGAAGCAAATGGTCATTGGAAGTTACCATGCGCAACATCAATTTTATCATAGGCACTTGCAAGAGTGCATAGCAATTCCCTTGTGCCAAATTCCTCACTAGTGCCGCCTTCAGGCCTCATAGATGGTGGTAAATTCTCATCAGGATCAGACCCATCTGCATTTCTTCCTGTCTCACAAATCTCCTGAAGGGTAAAAAGAAAGTTCAATACATTATATTTTATATTTACATGACTTAAGAGAGTGATCCTATATGGAATACTCACCTCCCATATCCCTTGACCATGGATGTTATACTGAACTCTTAGAGCCACTATTAGTATAGCCATTACACAGACCCGTGTGGGGACCCTTAATGGATTACTAGACAACCATAGTTCTGCAGGCAATGCCCACTCATAGATGCGGCAAGCATGAGGGAGGATTCTTTCTATCGGCAGAGACAACTCATTCAAGTAGCGTTGAGCAATAGCATAGAAATTAACTGAAGGAAGCTGCAATCCTATTCGTTGTGCAATGGACCCAGCTGCAGCTTCCAGTTGCCATGTTCCAATCACTCGGACTGGTCTGAATAGTTGTCTTGCACTCAAAGGGCAGTGTTTTACAGAGCTCCCAAGAAGCCTGTCCACTTCGGTAAATGCTGCCATATAAGGAAGCTTACCCTCCATTGCCCACCTATAGATGTCAGTCGGTAGGATGGCTTCCCGGGCAATATGACATGCCAGGAAACATACAGACAATGTTGAGTACAGTGGCAGCATCGTTCTCAATGAGCGCACAAAGATGAACTCAACCCTTCGCCTGTCTTTGCGTGGCAAGGCTTCACCCCCCCCATTCACATTTCACCTCTTGAGGTTTCTGTTCGCCTGCACACAAAAGATACACATATATATCTAACTTTGCTCTGGTCTTTCAATGGTATGAACTGAACAAGAGAGTAAACTGACACCTCCACTGGCAGAGCACTTCAGTCTCTGCACAGCCTCGTCCTCCACGAGCACCTTCCGCGCCCAAATTTCGTCGAACACCTTGGAGGTAGCCACCCACCGCACCCAGATAGTTCCAGCCAGGCCACAGACAAGCGCGCCCACCCGGTACCTCTTGACCAGCACTTCCAGCTGCTGTTGCAGGATCACCTGCAGCCCCTGCACGTAGCGCCACCGGACCCGAGCACCCAGCTCCTCTGGCTCGTCCCAAGCCTTGGCGCCAACAACAAAGTCGCGCGGCTCCTCGAAGTCAGTCTCAGTCGCAGCAGGGGGCTGCCGAGTGGGGTAAGGGGTTGGTTAGGGTGCGGGGGTACGGGATTTGGGGGTTTTGTTGGCTTGGCTAACTCGGCGGAAGGACATGGTGCCGGTGGCTTGGAAATCGTCGGGGTCCGCGGCAGTCGCCTGGGTGGAGGTGTGGACGACGGAGCACTGGCGGCACGAGAAGAAGCCGTCCTCGGCGTCGTCGGGGTTGTACTTATCCGCCGCGCCGCAGTTGTCGCAGACCAGGCGTATGCTTCCTCCTCCGCCTCCGCCGTAGTGATCCGGGGAGGCGCCGCCGCCGTAATCCATGGGAGAAGTGTGGGATTGCGCCTTCCGGAGTTCAAAAAAGTTGTTGTCGGTGTTAGCTATAAGATGCTTGCCTGCGGCCTGTGCCCGGTACCTTCGTGCCGCGGGCGCCCAGAGGTAGAGGCCGGCAATGGTGCGCCGACGCCACCGTCAGCTGGGTCGGGCACCCGCCCGACGCGACTGGCGACTATCTAACTAGGGCACGCGTGAGTTAGGGGTCTGGAGTGGGGGGCGGGGGTCCGGAGGACAAGGAAGCCCGCCGCGCCGGCGAGGGCGAGTGCCGTGGCTAGGGTCGAGTAGGGGGGATGGGGACTAGGGGCGCGGCGCTGAGACTGCGACAATAGGGACTCGGGACGGGGAGAGCCTGGTTCAGGCCTAACATAGCAGGCCTTGGGCCGTAGTCTATCTCTCTGCACACGTGATTTCGGATTTTCTTTTTTTAGTTGGAAATTTGTTGCCTCTTTTTTTGATTGTCAACGTACAATCCGATGCCACCTCCCGAAAATGCCAAACGGAGACCGAGCTCCATAAAGGCTTTTATTTGAAAACTTCAAACTTTTCAGTTTCAAAAAATTCTAAAAATAAATACACATATACCTAGATACATATTGTACATGTGTGCAAATTTTCAGGTCGAAATGCATATAAATGTGAGCTACACAAAAAAGACAAATCTGAGGCTTATTAACATATGTACTATTCATCTTTAAAGTCCCTGTTTTTTTTGTGCAGCTCATGGTTCAAGGAATTTCATCCTGAAATTTCTCACACATACACTTTACATCCATGCATACATGTATACATTTTTTCATAATTTTTTGAAACTGAAATTTATGAATTTTGAATTTTTCAAAATAAAGGGCTCCATGGAGCTCGGTCTCCAAAATGCCCTACTCTGCCACCTCCTCGCTAACAAAATCAGGTGAAACCCGAAATCAAGATTTAGAGCATCTCTAGCAGACCCTTTCAAAGTGGTCAAACCCGTAAAAAATAACACATTTACAGTTTCGGTCGAAAAAACGGTTCCTAGCAGATCCCGTAAAGTTCATTTTTTAAGGGGCACCGAGAATCCATCCGCGAGAACCTCATGTGTATGGAAAGCAGTATACAATTCAATCCATATACGGTCAAACCTCATCAGAGCAGATGCGCCGCCGCGGAACTGGCGGAATCAACCCAAAACTCGCTGGAATCAATCGCCACACATCAGAAAAAGGTCGCCGCTGTCGTTGTCGGTCCAAATTGTGGCCGGCTCAACCTTTACCGCCAAGGCGGGGTGGAGCAGGCCGCCGGTGGCCCGAATCAAGGCGGGGCGACGCCGGAGAAGGGGCGGGGGCGGCGTCGGTGGCCCGAATCAAGGCGGGGCGACGCCGGAGAAGGGGCGGGGGCGGCGTCGGCGGCCCGAATCAAGGCAGGGCGGCGCTGGTGGGAGGGGGTTCGGGGCGGCCGCGACGTGCTGATGGAAGGGGGATCGGGGCGAAGGCGGGTGATACATCTCCAACGTATTTATAATTTTTTATTGTTCCATGCTGTATAATTCTTGGATGTTTATTATACAATTATATACAATTATATATCTTTTTTGGACTAACCTATCAACCTAGTGCCCAGTTGTTAAGGCATGTCTCTCTCTAAGTAGTTTTGGTGATTGATGACAATGTTTTTGCAGACTAATCGTGTGCGCTGAGTATTTCAGAGTTTCATTCATTGGCACGAGACGATTGCTTCCCCTCAGAGTTTTAAGTGAAGACGGTGTAGTTTCTTTCATTTCGGTTTTGGTGGACTTGATTCGTAGGAGTCACCGTACTATCAAGAGGGGGTCCACATTGAAAAAGCTAGGGTGGAATAAACACGTACACATCTCCTTTGCACCCACTGATCCTTCCCGCTTCAATGGAGGATCTTTTGTTGCCTCTATTGTGAGTTTGTTATGGTCCCAGCGGTAGTACTGCAGCTCCTAGGGGTAGTACTGCAGCTCCCAGGGGTAGTACTGCAGCTCCCAGCGGAAGTACCGCTCAAGAGTCATAGGCGGCAGTACCGCTGCCCAGCGGTAGTACCGCCAGGGGGCTCTCAGCCATAGTGCCGCTGAAGTGTTGTGCTATTACCGCCTCGACTCAAAAGTGTCGCCTCTTGTGTCGGGTTGTGCGACACTAGCAGCGGTAGTAGAGGCGGTAGTACCGCTCATTGTAACGCCCCGGATACAGCATTCCATATTTGTAACTTCGACTCTTGCCATTTTCTGCTATGTGTTATGAGATTCTCTTCGTGGTTGGGTTTTCGTCTTTCGTTTTGCATTTTGTTCATGTCATGCATTTCATGTCATGTCATCATGTGCATCTCATTTGCATACGTGTTCGTCTCATGCATCCGGTCATTTTCCCTGTTGTCCGTTTCGCAATCCAACACTCCCACATGCACCCGGCACACCCCTATTGTCTCTTTCGTGAGCGGGAGAAAAACGTTCTCGGAATGGGCCCAGATTTGTCAAGTGGCCTTGGTACACCACCGGTAGACCGCCTGTCAAATTTTGTTCCATTTGGAGGTCGTTTGATGCCCCAACGGTTAACCGGGTAACCGCAAAAGCCTCTTTTGTGTTGCAGCCTAACACCCCTCCAAAACAGCCCAATAACCCATCTAAACCCTCTCCATGTTCTCCGTCGTTGGATCATGATTGTGTGGGCGAAAACCGCACTTCATTTGGACTGTCTTAGCTCCCTCTACCTATATAAAGGTCATCCCCGTCCAAAATCGTAGTCCAAACCCTAGTTATCTTCATCCTCGCGCCGCCGGACATGTCCAACTCCGGTCGGACATGCCCGCCACCGCCTCCTCGGCCAATCGGGCAATGCCACATCAGGGCCCGGCCACCGGCCCCCGCCTCCTCCGCGCGCGACCCGCCAGGCCCGCGTCGCCTCCGCCGCCCACGCCCGCTCGCCGCCGCCGCCCTTGCCCGCGTGCCGCCTTCGCCGGCCGCCGCCGCCAACCGCGTCACCGGCCCACCTCTTTGCCTCCGCCACACCCGCACCCCTCGCCTTCGCGCGCCGCCGCCGCCTACCCGCGCGCCGCCCCGGTCGCCCCGCGCCGCCTCCGTCTCTGGTCGCCGCCAGTGAGCAGCTCCGCCTGGCCCCTCGCCGGAGCGCCGCCGCCCGTCGCACCGGATCCGCGCCGCCCTCGACTTCCTCCGCCGGATCCCGCGTCCCCGCACTTCCCCGCCGTCGCTGGAGCATCGCCGGAGCTCGCCGGAGTTCTTCTCCAGTCGGATTCGGAGAAGGTGGATGAGATCCACCCATCCCCACATCCAAACGTCCCGGATCCATCCTGTACCGCACCATCCCGGATCCCTCCGTCCTGTTGACTTTCCTAAGAGGTTGAAATTCTTCCAAAGTCTTTTCCCGGTAGTATTTTTATCCCCTGTTCATCATGTCATATCTCGTTGACCGTAGCTCCAAATCATTCATATGATATGTTGAAATGTTCGTCTCGTTGAGCTCTTCATGTTAGAAGCATTTCCATGCACGTTAATGTCTATTATGATGCCTTTTCATTGTTGCAAGAGTGCTATAAAATGTTAACTGCTGGTGCTTAGCAGAACATGGTGATTTGTCATTTTTTTGTTGCATTTGATGTGTGCATCATATGAGTATGAGATCTACATGTGTTTTGAACTACAACATGCCATATTTACAGGGGTGCAAGTCTTGTATTTTTGTGAGCTATGTGGTGACTAGCACAAGCATGCAAAGTAGGCTCCATAATGTTGCTGTTTTCAGGGACAGGATTTTGCTAAGTCCTTTTCCTGCTATTATTTTGATGCCATGTAAACTTGATGCTACAGGGGTGCAAGTTTTGAACATGTGGTTTTTCTCTATCCATTCATGCCTTTGGTTGCAATTATGGAGTGCTCTAGCATGTCATTTTCTTGCTCTACTTTTGCTATTAAATGTTCCTGGCAGATTGTTAACATGTTAATCAATATTGCCATGGTTGTTTCTAGTGATGCATGTACCCTATGAACTTGCTCTAGCCATGGTTAGCTTCATGAACATGTCATCTTGCTGTTGGTATGCTTATGTTGTCATGTAATGCTTTATGATGAGTGGCATGAGCTTGCAAAGTTGCTATCATGAATCTGTTTATGCCATGCTCTGTTTTTCTTCCAAGTTTGATTCTGTTTATAAAACTTGCTATGTTTACATGGGTGCCATCAT